TATAGTTCAGGGAGTTGCCCAGTACAAGCCTCCATTCTTGTGATATGATCCATACACCAGCTGATTGTGCCCCGTGGGGATTCCCTCCTGCTGTCACCACTGGAGAGGTCCAAGCAGGAGACCAACACACACTCAGAAGGACAGGCTAAAACATGTACAAAATAGTAACTCCACAGTTACTCAGGCATTATGCCAGTTACTCCTTACTTTCAGGCTTATAAGTACTTTCTTCAGTCCTGTTTTGCTGCTGAGAAACACTAAAATTTAGTGAATGAAAACTGCCAAAACTCAGGCAACTCCAAGGCAAGTGGCAGCTAGCCTGGTACCCAGGTGCTGTTAAGTTGGTATTTCTTGACCCTGTCTGCCCAGGAGAACCACATGAAAGCATTTAAGAGCACCAATGCCTGGGCTTGCTTCCCTGATTTACTATAAATCTCTTGGGGTACAACTGGGGCCTAGGTATGAGGTATATCTTAAATAGCCCCACAAGAAGATGCTATTGAACAGCCAAGCCTAGTGCTCTCCATAGGGAACATCTGCCTAGTAGGCATCTTTGGGGGAGAGGAGTTGATCATTGATTACAAAACAAGAGAAAAGTAATGAAAAGGATCTCAGGCATCTGAACTCTCACTCAAGGTTTAATCTGACTGCATAGCAATACCACTGCAGTTTGAAAATAGTTTTCACATATTTTAGTTAATTCTCAGGAAAATCCAGCAAGGTCCCCCCTCATGGTGATAAAATAGCTTAGGTAGGCTCAGAGAAGCTGAGAAAATATTCCAGAACATGCAGTTGCAAACTTGATGCTCTAGTCGAAGACTTATTTCAAAGCCAGTGTCACAGACGCTCAAACTCTTTCCTATGACTGACTACTTTTTCCCACTTCTTGCTTGATATTTGACAACTGAATTTGTATCGCCAAGAGTAAGATGGCAAAGAGGGAAGATAATATTTCTCTCTCTCTCTCTCTCTCTGTCATTGTTCGTGGGGCTTGAACTCTGGGCTTGGGCACTGTCCTTGCACTCTTCAGCTTGAGCCACAGTTTATTGGAGATAAGAGTCTCACGGACTTTCCTGCCCAGACTGGCTTTGAACCATGATCCTCAGATCTCAGCATCCTAAGTAGCTAGGATTATAGGCGTGAGCCACTGGTGCCCAGCTTATATTTCTCTTAAGTAGGGACAGTGTCATGGCCAATGACAGAAAACCATAGAATCCAAAATTCTGAGAACTACAGGTGTAAAGCTTTCACTAGACACAAACATTAGTGAAAAAGATAAAAAGCTAGACCAAGAAAGTCAAATGAGTCACTACTTAGGGAACTTACTTTCAGTGATAAGAACAAAGAAGGATTTGAAGTTCTGTGTTTGGAAACCAAAATGGCAATGAGACTCCTGCTATCCTATGAGAAAAGAAGGGCAACCTGGGGACACAGCATGATCCCTGTCAACATAACTACCAGAAATGTGGCCCATCTTATTGCTCAGCTGGCTTCCCACTGGGAGTTTCATCATCCAGATAAGACACTGCTGAGCTAACACCTACCTCAGCTGTCTGTCATCTCTCAACAGGACTGGGGAAGCTCTGTGTACAGCATGGTGCTACTGGACAACGAGCAGGTACAGGGCAGAGGTAGCAAATTCCCTGTGTTCATTCACACTGCAGGATAATGGAATCTAGCTTGGCTACACAGAGACATAGGGACAGCTCTTAATCATTCCTAACTTTACAATTTCCATCCATAAGATGAGAATGGGAGATGTTTATACCGAAGGCTGGTTTCACAGGCCGAGGACCTGTATCAACACACAGCCCTGAACTTGAAAAGGCTCATGTCTGATCTAATGGTTTGCCTTCAATGTCTAAAAGTCCTTGAGACTTGTAAACAAGTACCCTTTATTCCCAGTTTGCACTGGGCCTGCTATTGTGAAACTGGCCCTGATTTCTGCCTGTCCCACAGAGTTGTTAGAGGTCTGATCTATCATGCCACCCAGCCTGGCTTGTCGCAGGTGCTTAGGGAAAAATGCATACTATTATTTCCACAATGCTAAAGGTTCAGCTCTGATATCTGGCCTGATATCTGATATCTGTGGGTCATAGGTCAGCAAAGGGGAACAGATTCAATTAAAGTGACCAAGAGTGATCAATGCTGGCTTCCGTAGATTAACACATTGCCACAGATTTTTTTTTTTAGAGCTCTCTAGAGTTGTTCATTTGTTCACAGGAATGAGTCGTTTTCCTCCCTTGTGGTATTGCTGATCCAGATCTGCACGTTTTTCTCACTGGCACTGCCAGGTGGAGGAGTTATTGAGTCACTCAGTGAGTCATCAGAACATTGATGCCTGGGCAAACATAGCTGCCACTTCATCAGAGAGAGAGGGGTGGCAAGAATGGATCAGAAGAGAGACCAAAAGGAGGCTGGCTGCCTGAGGGAAGGAGATGGGGATCTCCTGTGGAGCTCTTCGTTTTAGATGGTTTCTAAGGTTCTTGTGTAAGATCACTTCCTTTGCACAACATACATAAGCTGATGAAATCAAGAAGCCTTGTCAGCCAGCACCATCCAAGGTGCTGAGAGGTCATTTCATGAAGGGATCCAATTTACCTGGGTTGATCATATCTCCAAAGCAGCCTAGCCCCTAGGGGCCCTGTGTCTTGGGCTGACAGCTTAATATGGTACATGACTTCAGTCCCCAGAGGCTGGCAGTTACTTTCACAGGTACCTTGTTTCAACGTTTCTGAAATGCACATCTTCTCTGAATAAAGGACTGTCAGCCTACACTCTCCACAGCACTTCATGTGGGAATGAGCCAGGGCGCTTGGGTCTGATTTCAAGGACTGTAGTGCTACGGTGTCATAGTTTCCTCACCAGGTGTCATGCGTCTGTGAACACACACAGTACCCACAGGAAGCAAAGCCAAGACTGAGCCAAGATCAACAACAAAAATCATGGTGGCAGCTGGCAATTATTGAGCCCTTAATATATGCCAGCTACTATGCTAAGAAGCTAATGCTTATATTATTTCCTTAACTCTGACAGTAACCCTGAAAAGTGATTCTTTTCTCCTTCTTGTTCTTCTTGTTCTTGTTCTTGTTCTTCTTCTCCTCCTCCTCCTCCTCCTCCTCCTCCTTTCCCTCCTCCTCCTCCTCCTCCTCCTCCTCCCCCTCCTCCTCCTCCCCCCCCTCCCCCTCCTCCTCCTCCTCCTCCTCCTCCTCCTTCTTCTTCTCACCTCCATTGTTCACATAAAAACCAATGCTTGGAGAGATAATTTGACTTGCTCTAAGTCTTGCAGCTACTAAACATTAGAGCCTGGATTTGACTCTCTGACTCTAAAACTCAAGCTTAAGTTGCTGACTTTGGTTCCAAGGAGTCTACAAGGTTCAACTAGCTCTTGATGTCAACAATTAATGTCACAACTCCCAGTTCTGCCTTTTTCCCAAATTGGTTAGTTTTACAGTGAAAGCAAGTTCTAGATTCACCCACATTAAGGAGATCAGAAATTTAAAATTCGATTACAATCTTTGTCTTTCTTTCTCCAAACAGTTTGAACCAAACATCCAAGAAGGAAGAGGGAAATGAGTTTGTTAAACAGTTGAAACACATACTTTCAAATGAGAAACATATGTACTATTATTTTTCATCTTTTGTCTCCTCTCCTTGATGGAGCTGAAAACAAATTGACATGATACAAATGTACACATCCACAGAAAGATAGGGCAAACCAGGGAAGTCTTGGATGGTGGCAATCTAGGAACTGCTGTGCAAAGCTTGAAGAAGTCATGGAAAACTTGCTAACAGCCGCCCAAGGTCAGGTCCAAGCAGAGTTGTCAAATCTGAGTATAATGACTCCTGGAGAGGAAGTCTGGACTTGAATTGCTGAGGAGTTGGAAAGGGGGTGAATATCTGCTACAGGCAGGCCTGAGAACAAGTATGTCAGACATTGCAGAAGTGCTGGCCTCCTGCCAGATTTTTATATCATTTCTTTTCTCCCTCCCTTCTGGCATAAACAAGTTCTGGATTTTTAAAAACTGGGTCATCATATTTTTAATTCCCTGCTTTCAGCACGGAGCTCAGTTAGTCTTGTTGACTGGCTTAAAAGTCTGATTTCCTGAGTGAACATTTCTTAGCCAGTCAGTTTTAGGGGAGTAATGAACCCAGCATGCCTGTCTTCCTGGCAGCAGTTACATAATGAATCTCACGATCGAGCTGGAGGACCATCCTTGCATTGCCTATCATTATATATTTAAATCGCAACATTAATATAACTATTAAAGCTCCACTTCAAAGATAGCAGTTCTTCCCTGGAGGTCTTGTCAGAGGATGGCACTGAGCTCCCAGATCTTCTGATACTCGGAGCTTAAGAAATGATGATTTTCCAATAAGCTTTGGTGTTCCTAAGAGCAAGACTGGCCTTGCCTGGAGGGAGAGGGGGCAGAAGGGGAGCTACCTAATCTCTGCTCAGGTTTACTAAGAGTTCTTAAAACTGCCTAGAAAACTGGGCCTCCTCTGGGTTTTCCTCTAGCAGTGGACGCCAATTTATAGTCTCTTGGGAGAGGGTTTTAGGTTTTCCTTGCTTTTCTGAAGATATATCAGTGACTTTCTAAATTTCATCTTCCATCCTTGAGTTCCAAATTCCTAGGAAGTTTGACTGTTTTTTCAGATTGACAAAAATTCACTCCTCCTTTCTGACCAGTTAAAACTTTTCTTTCTCCTTCACAGTCACCCAAACCTGCTAGAACCTCTCACTCAGTGGCCACACCCACGTAATGCTGGCCTCCAAAAAACTCAATGTTAGGGGAACAGGGAAGCTCATTGTGAGTTTAGTTTCTAAGACTCATGTGTAAGGCATCAGATTTCAGTGAGATTTTTCTGGAGTTTGAACAGAGTAGGAACCACCTATGGGTTCAAATCTGGACTTGCTTTTATTTAACCTTGGTTTGTTTTACATTATTTAGGTCAACTTTTGGAGGGACCTAGAATTTTATGGCCCATAAAATTCTTACCTTTTAAAGGAGCCCATAGTTAACAATTTGTTCATCACCGCTCCTTCCACCTCACCAAAAAAGTCTCCAGTCTATGGGGAAGAAAAGAAGATTGATGAAGAAGTATAGATAAACGATGCACCCAAATAGCAGGGAAGAAACATAAATAGTCTGGGTCCTAGAGCTGGCCTAGTTTCTGATTTTCTGTTATAAAAAAGTAGAAGGGCACTAATGGTCAAAAGAAGCCTAGGAGTAACAGAAAAAACTATTGAACAGATGGGACTGTCCCCAAAACACATATGGCAGAATACTGAAATTGAAACACACACACACACACACACACACACACACACACACACACACACACCATTATCTTTGGAAGGAGTCAGCACTAAGCTGCACTTAATCCCTTGTGATTAAAATGCTACTCCAAACAGTCAGAATAAGGCTATGAAAGGGCTTCCTAAGCAGTAATAAAAACAATTGTTTATAATTCCTGGATGACCCGTTTAGGAAAATATAACAATGCACTTCCCCAGCCCTATAAATTTCCAGCAGTTGAGAACCCGTCCTTTCTCAAAATCACTTTCTGACGAACACTCTCCAATAGAAGTGCTCATAGGTTGTTAATATTTTGACTAAGAATGAGACTATCCAGGGAGGCAGCGTGGCTGATTGGAATTGCAATGGCCTACCTCTGCATCCGGGCTGTCTTCAGTTCATTGCCAAGCTGAAGGTTTCATGAGTCTACTTTTTGCTGCTAGATAGAATTTGAAAACCTCAAATGTTCTCCAGATAGCCTGAACCACTGAGATGGGGTGTCCTCATGAACTGAGGAGCACAGTTCATAGTAATAACCTTCTGCCAGCATCCTGAGGCTGTGCAGAGCAAAAAGAAACCTATTTCTACTCTTGAGTAGACAGCTGTGAGCACATGTGCGTGAGTATGGGAAGGTGTGACAATATGTAATGTCTAATATATATAAGACATTGTATTACTATTTCATTGATAATAATTTAATGAATGGCCTCAATCACACTAACAAAAATTTCTAGGCAGTGAGGCAAATTAACAGATTTCATCAAAGACAAGAAGAAGGAGGAAACATTTCTTTGAATATCAGACACTTCCTGTGTGACAAGAGAGAAACATTGGCAAGCTGTGGGTGTGTACTGATGCTAAGAGCAAGAAGGACATTTGTATTTTGTGTGGGTATGTATGCCAGTGTCAATGGAACTGGTTGTTAGAGGAAGAAGAATTATCCTAATTGGGGGGCAGGGAGCCAAACTTTAAACAAGTCCAGGCTGAGCAGGCTGGCAGATCTCTTGCCTAATGCCTCTAGCAGAAGAGAGAGGGAAGTGGGGGGCAGGAGCAGAGTGAATGTGGCAGCCATGGCTTTGATGGAATGAGTATTTCCTATTTCCATGGTCTGTTGGCTGGTCCAAGGCTCAGCACAGGAAGATCAACTCCAACTCCTGTGTCCCAGGCCTAGACCCTATCTCAGCCCTCAGTGGCTTTGGCAGAAGGACAGAACTCTTCCCAGGCGATGCATTGGGGGTCTTGTTGCACAGACTTCTTCATTTCTCAGTGTTCTTCCGCTCAGCCAAATGCACATGTGATCACAGGCTGATGGGCTTTGATTTCATCCTTCCTCACATCCACCAACTGAACAATGCCCAGTGATGTTTAGTATTAGAGGTGACTGCATGGACATTTTGAGTCTTGAAGGCAAATTTACATCCGATCCTACCATATTCCCAAGGATAAGAGGAGAAAAAGAAGCACAGATCTTGCTTCTTTTTTCTTTTTTATTTGTTTATTGTAAAGATACTGTACACAGGAGTTATAGTTACATGAGTAATGAGTACATTTCCTGTCGATCTTGCTTCTCAAAGTCACTGTTTATAAATCAACAAATCACTGAGCTCAGATCTAAAAGATCCCCCCATAAAGACAATTAATTAATTTATTAAGCATCACTATCATAGTGTTGACTTTTGAGAAATTTAAAAACATTTCAAAGAACATTCATTATAGAACTGTAGTATTCTCAAATGTTAGAGTTATTAGAAACCACCCATAGTCAACTATCTTTGTTTTATAAAGTTTATCCTGAGGACCAGACAGAAAACATATGCCTCTCCTGCTAATATTATTTTATGATGAACTATGAAATTCGTATTTTTTCTTATTTTAATATGCCAGTTGAATTTCTAATTGAAGACATTTGAAGGCTGTTGACTTTCTCATTTTGACTTTGGAATAGTGAGATTCCTATGTGCAGACTATGTGCTCACTGTACATGGTCCAAGCAAATGGAGAAAATTCCTCTCCTCTCTCTTGACACTAGTCCCTCAGTGCTGTGAGCCCAGGTTAATCCTTCAACTTAGATGACTGATTTTTAAACAGGAAAAACTACAAAGAAAACTGAAAACAGTCATTCAGTAGGAGTGTGTGTATGTGTGTGGGTTTGTGTGTGTGTATGTCTGTGTGTATGTGACAGTTAAATATCAGAAGGAGAAAAAGCTCCTTAAAGTTGTTCAAACTCTAAGGCACCTTTCAGGCAAATGTTCCTCATGTAGCACAGGCAGCTCTAAAACAAGGTTCTATAAAATGAGCATTTTGCGGGTATGAGAACAGACCATGGGCCCTGGGACCTCCCCCCTCCCCCCTACCTTTCTGGGAAGTAAACACTCTTTGGGGCCTGCTGAGAAGTTGGCTGTGACAGTCCTGGAGGGATGGAAATAAAGCTAATAATCAGCCTCCTGCTTCTTCCCTTTAGCTCATTGTCTCCAGGTTGTCTTCAATACCATAATTTGCACTACCTGATCTGAACTCATTCCAAGCAACCTTACTTAGAGTTGAGGGATTTTCCACTCACCTGCATGTAGTCTTCAGACACCAGAATAAACCCATTATTGTCTATGAGGTAACAGTTCACAGTCTAGAAAACAAAAACCACAGTTTCAGCTTCAGGTCCTCAGACTGCTTTTACATGCAATGACGTACTTCCAGCCTCAGAGAAGCCCATTTAGGGGGAGAGGGGGATGGTAGGGAAATTGAATTGAGGAGACTGAAAAGGCTTGCTGGCTCTGTATATTCAAGCCATGGCTAAGCTAACCCTAGAGTTGACTCTGCAAGACAGGATGCCAAACAAGACTTAAACAACCCAGAATGGGATAAAATGAATATGCATTAAAAATGACAAATTATAGTTTGTCTATTTCCTAGGAGCAAAGTATCTAGAAGCCCCTGGACCTGTACCTTTTGGTGGCTGAAGTGCAGGCAGCTTGGAAAGTAAATCGCCAGCACAATGCCATTACTCTAATGATGTATTAATGAAAACACCTTGTCAGCTTGCAGGACCATCAGGGGACCAGGTAGTATTTTTTAATTTGTTCATACACTGAGTCAGGGGGAAGGGTTAGCCTTCTGCAAAAAGGGGCCCCTCAGGCCTCCTAAGGGTTTTCAAACTGTGTTTTTAATTGGAGCTGGACTTGGGGGCAGGACTGTTAGCTTTGGTAACTTAGACTTATAAATTGTGGAAAGCAAGGTAAGCCTGAACCTCCACTTCCCCCATACTCCTTTAATCTAAGTGAATGGCTTGCTACAGGCTAAATTTTAATTATAGTGCTGTAGAGTTTAAACTTAAAGCTTAATTCTGTCCTTGATGTAACTCAGTTTCTATTTATTGCAACTTTACATACCTACTGCAACATTTAATTTGTAACATATCTTTACCCTGAGCTAAATTCCTGCTAGCTCCAGGCTACCACAGGGTTGGGGTTTTCTGGAACATTGGCCTATGCACAGGGTTGTCTTGAGTGGAGGACAAAAGGACAGTAGTGAGTAGGTTGGAAAGGTTTGACCTTTATTTCTAGATAGTAACTATGTTGAATGGCCAGAAAATTAAAAGCCTTTCTAGCACCTTTATATAGAAGATCCAGCTGCTTTAAAAACAGAGCTTGACTTGTTTATAAAACAGGGTCAGATGAATGACTTGAGTAACCTGGTCACACTCTGGCGGTTTGCAAAAGCTCTTGGCTTCAGGGACACTACTTTGGTCCTGGAGAGAGTCTTGATAAGCTATCTTTATTCTCGAGACAGCATTATGGAAGCATCCACAGAACCCTGCTTCTAATAGGGGTGTTATGATCTTTACATAGATTTACATTTAATTTTAATGTTAATTTAATTAAAATTAGAAACAACTAAAATGCCCATTCTTGAACCTAGGATGACTTGTATTTCAGGTATTCGACATCTAACCCTGCTAGTGACTACACTTTTAGATGTCCATATTTGTACAAAGTAATTATGTTATCCAAGACAGCAATATCTTTGATTATACTAGGAGTTGAAAATGTGTTATCCCAGGCTACATCGGATTATGTTTCATAAATCCATATGCTTGTTGACTTGAATGCCATGATGTTTACTTTGGAGATACAAATACCAGCAAAAACACCCAATAAATGCATACTGAATACAAAAGTAGGTATTCCTCACAGTTGCACAGAATGTCACAAGTTATCAGTTCTTACCCTAACATCTGTAACTGATTAATAATAATGTATTAACATCTATATCCTTGGTCACTATCTCTCTGGCAAACTGATGATCACAAACACTACAAATCTTAAGAAAGACGCAAGATGTCACACAAAGTCCATGAATATGAGAAAATCTTTTGTCCTTAAGGATGCTATTAACACATTAGGACTAATCGGAAATTAGAAAAATTCACAAGACAGGAGAAGTGCTTCCAAAGACAATGATTTCAAAAGCAAGTAACAAGGAAGCCCCAGGGAAGGCTCATCAGATCAGGTCTTTTACTGTATTTGACCCTCTTTGTGGTCACTCTGGGAAAATTAGGTGTCAGAGTCTGTATAGTGGGCCATTTAATAATTTTATTAGAAACATTAAATGTCTGACTCCATGAATGCCTCTCCCCCCGTTTGGAGAAATACAGTACAATTACAGCTATAAACTGAACTGGTTAAAATAAACATATTTTCACAATTCCTACTTTAAAACAATCTTCAATGAAACTTTTCATTAGTAGTTGTGAACATCTGGTTCTCTCTCAGATCTCGTTTCTTGGATGTGAGGAGCCTTCTGATAGTGGCCAGCACTGAGTGGAAGGGAAGTCAGACTTGTCAGTAGAAGACTTTCCCTTAGGTTTTTACCTGGTTTTCTCCTCTCTTCTTCAATGGAAAGAACAGAGTGTGAAGCCTGTTTCAACACAAAGCCTGGAAGAGCAAGCTATAAAAAAAAAGCCTGGGAAATCACCAGATGACAACTATCACACAAAGAAATTGTTCATAAGACTTCATTGTCATGAAGAAAGAAGAACCATAGGGACAGGGGCTGAAGAGGAGGAGGGCAATGCTGGGGAGGAGGAGAAAGAGCAATTATAGGAAGCATTAGCCCAAGCAAGCCTTTCAGAAGTCAAGTAGGTGATTATCTTGTTGGACAGGGGGGAAGACAGGCCACAGGTGTATTTTCTCTAAGGCCACACAGCTAAGCACAGGGCCACATGGCCTCAAAGCCCATGCTGTCTCCTCTATCTTCCAGACTCCAGGATGTACTAGGAGCTCAGGGGCCTACCTTCTTAGAGAAAGCTTTTTTGGAAAGAACAATCCCTTAACCTACAGCTAGCTAAGGACAGATCTTGTCTGCTACTGCTTATCAAAAGACACTACAACAGGTGGCAGAAAAGTCAGCCAGAAAAATGCCTGCACCAAGTGCTTGGGGTGCTACTTTTATGGCTGAATGCAAGAAAAACAACACAAGTGACTGTGTTTAGGTTAGTTTGCTCAGGTGGTTGTGACCACAATTACATGTTCCTGAGTTCCCTCAGCACAGCAATTCTTAAGCTAATATCTGAAGCCAAAAGACTGTGTCAGATATAATTTAACAGGGCTCTGCATATATCTAACCACTTGTTAAAGAAGGATCTATGGAAGAAAACAAGCACAGGATAGGCTAAAGCCTAAATGTCACCCATGTAGTCAGTCAGCTTAGCTTATAACCTACTAGATGGTCATGGACAAAGGAGCAAAGAAAGTCTTGTCCTGGTCTATAAGGACACCGTGCTCTAACCACTTCTTCCAGAGGTGCCCTACTTGTGCCCAGCAGGTAGTCATGCACTGCTGGGCACAGGCAGAGAAGAGCTTTTGTTTCTCCTATACTTGTAGAAATGCATGAGAACACTGGCATTTGGACTTCTTTGGACTATGTTTCTAGTTAACATTCTTAAAATAGAATTCCCCACATACTTCCATTAGAATTTCAGGACAAGAAGTGGAAGTTGCTGAGCATTATGGAAATGTTTTTATTTCAACTGAACAATGCTGAATTTAAAAAGATTTGGTCAACTTATTAAGCAAAAACAAGAACTGCTAACTGACAAGTCACATGTCAAAATCTGGGTGCTGAGTCACTGATCTGGGCCTCTAATCTGAAAGCTATCATTACAGGCAACACTCTGTTGTCTACCTATAAACACAAAGATATAAATTAAGTGACTAGATGACTGCTTAAACAGATCTCCTGTCAACAACCACTAGGATTAAATTATTACTGAGAAGTATGGTGAATGGAGTCAGCCCACAGAGCTAGAGGGCAGAATGCTAGGTGAACAGCTCAGTCAGGACAAAATTAGCCTGTCTGTTCAATGTTTTCTCTATAGACACTTTATGAAAACTATTTAATTGCCTTCCCTGTACTCCCCCTCCAATAACAGGAAATACAGGAGATATTTCTTCAACTTTCCTTCATTAGTCTATTCTACCTTAACCCCACATCTTCAACCCCAGCTCCTTGTTACAAGGTCCCTGTCCATCACTGAATCCCAAAGGACCACTAAGGGAGAAATCAGAACTTCCCAAACAAAGAGACTTGTATCTCCAATTATCCAGCAAAAAGCTTGAAGTGGAGGTGTGGCTCAACTGGTAGAGCACCAGCCTTTAGTGACAAATTGAGCTAAAGCATGCCCTGAGTTTAAGCCCTAGATTTGGCATGAGAGAATGTGAAGAAGGGAGGGAGGAAAAGAGGGAAGGAAGGAAGGAAGGAAGGTAGGAAGGAAAGAAGGAAGGAAGGAAGGAAAGGAGGAAGGAAGGAAGGAAGGAGAGAGAAAGAGAAAAAAGAGAGAAAGAAAGGGAAAGGAAAGGAAAGGAAAAGAAAGGAAAGGAAAGGAAAGGAAAAGAAAGGAAAGGAAAGGGAAGGAAAGAAAAGGAAAGGAAGAAGTAAAGAAAAAGTCAATATTACTCAGAGAAGACTCATTCGGGTTCACAAAAGCAGATACCAGACACTAAAACCTACATCCTAAATATAAGATAGTATAAGAACTATGCAGTCACAGACTGGGAGGCAAAAGATACTGGGGAATGAAAAAACCACAGGGCTGACTCGGGTGTTAACTGGAAGACAATATCAGCTGAGACTAAGACCAGAAGCTCTGACAGTTGGTATTGATGTGACTGTGAGCAAAGTCTGAACCCTGGAAGTCTCGATTTTCTTTTTGGAAAAAAAATAGTAGATAGCGAGTACTTTCCCACTGGGTGGTTGAGAAGATGCAGTGGGAGGTACATGGGTAGTGCTGGGAACAGTTAAAAAAACTTCAAGAAGATGTGTTTTCATCCCGTCAGCCAATGGCTATTGGCCACTTATCACATGTCCTAATTCTACAATTCTAACATTTCTCAGGGAGTGAAGTGGTTACACTCAAAACAAGAGGTCCTTGCTGGGCACTGGTGGCTCAGGCCTATAATCATACCTACTGAGGAGACTAAGATCTGAAGATCAAGGTTCAAAACCAGCTGAAGCAGAAAAGTCAGTGACGTTATTTTCTCCAATTAAAGCCAGAAGTAGAGATGTGGCTCATGCGGCAGCATACTACACTTGAGTGAAAAAGCTCAAGGTCCTGAGTTCAGATCCCAGTACCACAGGTTGGCTTAGTTTGGTGATTTTTTTTTGTCTTGCTTCAGGGAGATGCCTTTGTTTATTTTGAGGCATGTGGGGGGGGGGGGGGGCGGGAAGGGAGATTTGGTTCTTTCACCTGAAGTTGAAGCTACAGTCAGTATGTCTCATCTCAAAAGAAAATGTGCCACTGCGTACTACTCTTCTCCAGGTCTCCTAACCTAATCTCTAATATGTCAGTTGTAGGATAACTTGACCATTCTTACCGCTTGCTCTATCATTACATTATAGGCCAAGTATAATATCAAAATGCCATCTATTTGAAATAATTTTATTGCAAAGTAGTCACTTTGGTAGCAGTGACCTGTGTCCCTCCCTCAAATGATCCTCCCACCAACTCCCTGGCCAGGTGGGGTTGCTCCAGACATGGAGATCCCAGCTGTATGGATGTAAGCTCTGCTTCTAGGCCTGTAATAAGCCAAGGTATCTCCTACTTAACAGCGGCGTGCCTGCGGACACTCAACGTCTTAGCGATTGGTAGAAACTATTGATCTCTAGTTCTCTGGAACAAGAGATGCCTTGGTTAGAGGTCAACCTTCTCAATTTCCACTGTCTTTGCTAAGTATTGCTTCTCTGACCAGGAGATGGAGGTTGACAATACGTAAATGAGAAAAGAGATTGGCTGCAGTGAGGAAATACTGGCTGGGTCGGGCTGAAATGGGAAGTAAAGATGATATTCCTCCTTCCTTTGTATCCTGAATGCCAACCAGGTTGGCCTTGTTTACTGGCAATGCTGCAGATGGAACCCAGGGCCTTGTACATGATGGGCTAGTGCCTGACTAGTATGCTACACCCTAGCTCTACCACGTTTTCTCTGCCACCTCCATGCCTTGCAGGAGTGTTCTCTACCTATGAAGTTCTTCTCATGCATCGTACACCATCATCAAAGTCCTTTCCTTCCCAATCTGCCAGGGACTTAAATGTCACCACTTCAGAGTAGCCTCTGTTACCAGTGAGTGTTGGCCACTCCATCCCACTTATCCCAGTTGGTGATTAGATGTGCTTGCCTTCCCAGATACCCAGTAATTTCCAGAAGGCAGAAGCCATTTCTAAATCAGTTTTCCACTGTATCTTTCATGGTCAGACAGACCTTGGTCCCTAAGAAGGGCCGAATAACCTGTTTGAAATAGTATTTGAAATTGCCCCTAATAAGCTTTGAATATAACATTTGCCCCGTGTAAAGTCTTTTTAAGACTTCAGTCAGCACTATGGCCAGATCCTCCAAGTCACATGGCTCAGGCTCTGACTGGACAACTAAAGATGCACACTGTCCCACAAGCCTCACACACTCCTGCTGAGGTCCAAGGAGACTGCTGATGGGGAGACATTGGGGCTGGAGGAAACCTAAGACAGGCAAAGCATGTCTAATCAGTCTGAGCGAGTGAGGTAGGTCTTCAGTGCAGTGGACAAGTCATATGAATTCGTGAATTCTTACAGCTGTTCAATGGGCCTTTGATTACATGAGGGAATCTGGGGATTGGAAAGGCTGGTCTCATAGGCCTAATTAGGTAATAATGAAAAGAGAATAATCCTTGGAAAAAGTGTCCTGGGAAAATGGAATTTGGTCTGGGTGAGAAGGAAGGTTGAAATGTCCAATAAAACAAGGACAGTTTCCTGGAGCCAAATTTTAAGGGTCAAAGAGGAAAATAGAAGATAATTTCAAAGTGCACACTGAGGACATTAGAGCATCAGATAAAGTTTAAAAAAATCATAAAAATTCAGGGCTTAATTTTTCCCTCCCTGCCTCCCTCCCTCTCTCCCTCCCTTCCTCCCATCTTCCTTCCTTCCCTTTCTTCCTTCCCTCCTTCCTTCCTTCCTTCCTTCCTTCCTTCCTTCCCTCCTTGCTTCCATCCTTCCCTCCTTCCTTGCCTTATGGTTGTTAAATGCTCTACCACTTGCGTCAGCCCTCAGCACTTTTTGCTTTAGTGATTTTTCAGATATGGTCTCATACTTTTGCATAGGTCCAGCCTGGACTTTGATTCTTTTACCTCTGCCTCCATGTACCTGGAATCATAGGCTTGTACCTTCATCCTAGCCTGTTTTTTTTTGTGATAGTCTTGCTACCTTCCTTACCAATTCTGCTTTTGAACTTCAATTCTCCCATCTCTGTCTTCTAAATAGCTGGGATTACAGGCACACACCAGCATATCAAGCTTAATTTTCAAAGTATGTGAATCTTTAAATGACAGTTGCCTGGGTTTCTCTCAATGGCTGCCAAAAAGAGATCATTAGTGGTAAATAGAATATCACAGCCACAGTATGTGTGCCATTATTATCTGAGCCTTCAGATACAGGTGAATCATTACTCAGACTTGTTAGGCTTAGAGTTAACATTCAGTGCTTGCCTTTTGCTCTGCTAAGCAATTTTTATTACCTCACCCCCCATTATTCACCATTACTCTGTGACATGTGTATTTCAATCTCTATGACTATGTAGTTGAGGAAATTGAGTCATTAAGAGGTTCAGAGAACTGTCCAAGTTCACAAAGATTATTTATTGTCAGAGTCACAGCTGGAGGCTCATCAGTCTAATTCTATGACTTGTAACTATGCATTGTCCTATATAACCTGTAATACCAGTCTCTGAACAAAAAATGTTCTGTATGTTTCCAGATTGGAGACCCATTTCCACTTCTTCTGTATGTAGGTGTGCTGAGGCTAGTTTTAATCATCAGATTGTTCAACCAACTATCCATCTATTGAACTAGCCTATTAACCACCCATTCACCCTAACAACCAATGAATCAACTAACCAACCAACCAGCTATCCAAACTACCAGCTATCCCACCAACAAACTAACAACCTTGATTTTGTTATTATGAATTTGGGTTAGTAATTATATCCTCTGTGCAAAGTGAAGAGTTTAACACAGGGCCACATAACACTGACTAATTGCACTCTTCCCTGAGTTCTTATGCTGATCATTGCAATAAGACATCACAGGTCATAAAGCCAGAGGGAACTGAGACCCACTTGGATATCCTAGGAAAGTTGTCCCTGAACTTACCAAAGCATGTTGGTCATAAAATTTCACAGGATGCTCTTTCCAAAAAGAAAATTATTTTTGATCTGATGATCAGAAAAAGTTGGGCTTTCACTAAAAATCTGATTGACTGGCTTTTATTGTTTAGATAGTGTAACTCTTACATTGATCATAATTAAAATTACAAATTTTATTTTAAGCTGACACCTAAACAGTTGGGGCCTGACCCCCCTCATTTTTCTGTTTTAGCATTATCCTTTCATAGTTATGAGATTATTTCTCTTTTGCATGCTTTATTTTGAAATCAACTTCTAATCTGTTTAAATTTGGTTAAGGTTTCTTAAAACTTGATGTAACAGAAAACTGTTAGTATGTGATTATTTATAAAGTTTAGTTTGGGAATACACTGGTTTTTAAATAAGACACAGAAAAAGGCTACTTAAACTGAAGTGAAAAGTCCACCATGATTTTTCTACTTGTACTTAAATAGAAGGAACACTGGACTTAATGTTATAAAATCCTAAGTCTGATAGACAGACTTAGGGCCTATAATTTTTCTCCTACTGATGATGTTTAACCCCATAGATGGAGAAGGAGAAGGAGAGAAAGAAGAGTTCTAAAAGGAAAACATTAGGATAGAATGAAAATTTCTTGAGTTTCAGAACTTTCAACTCTAAATTTTCTGAATATTTATTAAATGAAATTAACTAAGCCAGTTAATTTCTCTCATCTTCTATTTTCTTATCTACTAGATAGGCCAACAATTCCTACAAGTTTCACTGGATGGTTATAAGACTGGAAAGATGCCTAAGTCTTGAAGGTAAAGCTTTCAGAATTGCATGACTTTCAAACGATAATGATGTCGATTGCTGCCTATAAACAAAATGTCCCCATTCCAATAGTGCTATCCATGAGGTCTTTAAACACATTTCTCCAGCTTTTATAACCAAACTATCTTATTAGAGGGGAGAGGTAAGAAAACAAAAAGGAAAAGAAGCACATGTCCTTTTCTTTGTGTGTGTGTGTGTGTGTGTGTGTGTGTGTGTGTCGAGGTTGACCAGAGTGATGTGTCAGATCTGGCTCTGTTCACAGCACTAGCTGTCACCTCCCCTCAGCCATCTTACCTCATCATCACAGCTGATGGAGCACTTGCCATCCAGAGAGGCACACTGTGGAGAGTGGGGGAGAAGCAAGGGAAACCATGTTACTGGGACATCCAAGCATCTGCTGTGGCTGCTACTTAACTACTACAGTCATGGCCTGTGCTGCAAAACACCAAATTTCATCTAAATAGAATGTTTCAAGATGGGATTTGGCTGCACGATCTAGAATTTGTGTCAACTCTAAACAGTAATATCAAAGACTTATACAATACTTGGGGAGGACTGGCTCTTTTCCATCGTGTGTGTGTGTGTGTGTGTGTGTGTGTGTGTGTGTGTGTGTGTGTGTGTGTGTGTGTGTGTGTGCGCCAGTATTGAGGACTGAACTCAGGGCCTGGGCACTGTGTCTTAGCTTTTTCACTCAAAACTGGTGATCTACCACTCGAGCAATACTTCCACTTCTGGCTTTTTGGTGCTTAACTGGAGGTAAGACTCTGACAGATTGTTTCTGCCTAGGCTGGTTTTGAATTAAAAGGCCTCAAATCTCAGCCTCCTGAGTAGCTAGGATTACAGGTGTGAGCCACTGGCACTCAGCCTTTTCCCATCTATTTTATGTTGTCATTCAATGTTGATGATATCTTTTAAAGATTTTTACATCTTTTGGTAACAAGAGATATAATTATGTAATTATTTAATTTAAAATTATTTCACAATGACCTAAAACACAAAACAAACTCCTGTGTTCTCAGTTTACAGTTTCCTAAGGTATTATAATTTAAGAAATGATACATCAGTCCCACCTCCCCCTTTCATCCTTGATAGGCACTTGGGTTGTTTCCATATCTTAACTGTTATGAAAAAAAGTGCTCAGTAAACATGGGAATGCAGGTATCTAGTATCTATCTCTTTGATATTCTGACTTCATTTCCTTTGGTATTCTGACTTCATTTCCTAAGTGTTGGGTTATTTATCCAACACTTTGAACACAGATGAAAGCTGTGTTGTATGACTTGCCATTTCTGATGAATTACTGAACAGATACCATAGATACCCCTTAGAACAAAAAGCACAGCAAAGGGAAAGCATTTCCCTAGATTCTCCAAGTGGAAAAGCCCAGAGAAACCTTTTGGAGAGGAGGAGGGCAGAGGGGGAAGAGCAGATACAAAATTTGATAATTCTTATCATTTAAAAGCCTTCTACCTTGCAATAAACAGATTTACAAGTAAATGACCAGGCACCACAAGATTAGGAGAACGTCACTATAAAATCAGAAAGGGCTCTAATATTAAAGCAAAAACTTCTTTTGGAGATAAGTATCTTGACCTTACATTCAAATTGTTCCTGAGTGTAAATGCCCTCCTCTCCCCAGCATGTGGTGTCTTACATGCTGACAGCCCTTTATTTTTCAGTGCAATGAACTGTAATCTGAGCAGCCAGCAGTTCATCTTACAAACATTTATAGGAAATCTGGCACTTTTCGTCTCCAGGTACCCAAATGAGAACACCTGTATAATAACAGTGTGGCTAATGCTTCAAGATGCTGATTATACCTTACCTGTCTGCTGGCGGTCCAGAACTTCCTTTGGAAAAATTCAAGTTTCATCTGAATGCCTACAGCTGGGACAAATTATAAATAAAACAAAGCATCAGATATCCCTTTACACAATTATTTAAGATTAACATTGACAATAATCCATCACAGTGAGAAGCTGACATAAACATATCGGAAAAAAGTTTACAGATAAACATACAACTAAGACTTCTTTTTTACTTCCTGGAAGGAATTCTTGAGGTTATCTGGGCTCATAGAATTCTTGAAATAAAGCAAGCTGTAGGCAGGGCAGATAGAACTTTGGAGATAAATCACTTCAATGATTCTAAAATCCATATACTTGCAGTAATATCTCCCTAAAAGAAGCTAAAAATAAGAATGAAAGAAATACATTTGAATTATTCGTATTTCTTCAGTCCCTGTTTCAGCTATTACTATATGAGTTTCAGTGTCTAAAATATATATTCTGAATGTGTTTTTGAAATACAACACTTGAAAGGCACTTTGAGACTGCTGTTTAGAAGGGAGCCACTTTGCTCTGACTTTGCTTCACAGGCCCCCTAGTGTCCACAGCTCAATGCTCTTCCCTCCCTGGGAACCGTGTTATGATTATGACAGCTGTACAGTGAATACTGGCTCCACTAATCGATGCAGAAAAGAAAGTGACATGAAGCTTTGGGAAGTAGTAGAAACTTAGAACTAGAACACAAACAAGCTCTTCATGAAGCCAATTCAATATAACCCAGAAAGAGAAACAGGGTAGAAACCTCTTCAGATGATTTTAGAAAAATTCAAAAGAATGAGACTACTTGGCTCATCAGGGGCGGCAATTTACCCTGGTACAGTCTAGCAAAAACCTGTTATCACCAGTACTACTGTTTATCTTTCTGTATTTCTTTCTTTTACTTAAACCTCTACAATGACTTCAACCTAAGTACTAACATCCATCAAAGGAGATAGACAGTTACAAGAGAAAAGTTCCCTTATCTACTCCTGGAGTTTTGCATCATACCATGTGAGACTTTCTACTTGGATAATCACTACACTACAGTCTTGGCTTTAGGAACTGTAAGACTTATGGAAGTCTTCGCTTAATGCCTTCACATGATCAACTGCTTTTCTATTTCCTGAAGAAATTATTTCAACAAGGCAAGGCCCAAGAGCAAAGGTTAACTGGGTATGTACATTTGAAAAGCCTTGGTATCAGCCTTTGGAGTTAGAATTTCAGCTCTCAGGTGGGACTAGAAGCAAGCAGCGCTGTAGTGTACGGATGGGGTTCATCTCCACACTGCTCTTTTTAATAAGTGGTGCTCATCTAGTTCCACCTTAAGTGTGTCCTCTGCCTTTGAGACTTAAACTGCCCAATAGCAAGGACCTGTTCTTGCTCCTTTGAGACTTAAGCCTTTGAGACTTAAACTGCCCAATAGCAAAGGACCTGTTCCTGCTCCTCCCCCCAACAAGGTACTGAGTACATAGATAATCCATCAACAGCAATAAAATTTTTCAACAAGTAGTTAGCTTTTAGAGAGAAAGATGGAAGTGTAATCCCATGTCATTTAAGGCTCTTCAGTGGATACTTCTCAACACATTAGAACCACCTCTGGAACTTTAAGAAAAAGTAATGATGTCTGGGTGACCTCCTACGTCCATTTAAACTAGATTTTCTGTGGGTGATGGGTAGGCATGGGTGGTTTTGAAAGAGCATTAGGTGATTCTAAGATACAGTTAAGGCTGAGGATGATTGCTCTTTAGATTTTGGGAAATGTAACTTCTATAGATATACTATATAGAAAATGGGTCACATGGTCAGTCTCTACAACTCCAGCTTCTCTTCCTAGACTTGAAGAAAATTGCAGAGACTACCTGAAGGAAGCCGACTTTGGAATCTAAGAGTTATTTGTAGCATTTCAAATGGAGTTCATCTGGCAAAATGTTCTATAGCTCAGTATGCAGGGTGCCCAGTAGAATCCAGCTGGGGTTGACTGCTGCACTGGCAGCAGAGAGGAGGCCTCGAAACTTCATGAAGAGGGCTTGCCATAGCTACCTCCGGTTTTACCAAAGACAATTAGGGGCAGATAGCAAACTGACTTCAGAAAAAAAGAGCCTCAAAGTTTCCATGACAGCCAGTAACTGGTATTCAAGAAAAGGAAAGTTGGTGTCTCTGTTGTCTTTGTGGGTCTCTCTTTGTAGTGCCTCTTTGGTATTGTTTTCCAGCCACCCTCCCCACCCTAGCAGTCACAATAATTTTATTGTTCATGTCTCAAGGCCAAAGTCAACAGCCATGGCAAGCTTTGGATGCCCTGCAGGATGAAAACATGAGCATTGCCGCAGAGAATTGCTCCATGACGGATGTTTTAATGATGTTTCTCCTTCCAACAGTCGGCTGCCCTGGCCTTCCCTTTACCTCTTCAGTTTCACTATCAGCTCCCTGTACCCTTTTTGAGCACCTCCCATGCCATTTCTGAGCACATCCCATTGTCTGGTGGGGCCCCATTTTCACCTCCCTAATGAAGCTGGCTGTTTCCTTCAGGGTGTTTATCCATTTCACATACTTGGAGCTTGCTATCATCTGCCCCTGTCCATCCTATATCCCAGCTCTGCAGGGCGCTTTCATCTTCTCTCATGAGTCAGTCCCTCTGTCCCATTAATCATGTGGGCTGCTTTTCTCTGATCTTCCTCCAGTGGGCTGCATCCTCTCCTTGGTCCCAATGCCCTAAACTAGACACTGTTTCCCTCACTCCTCACTTACTCCCTGTCTGGGACATACAGCTGCAGCCCAAGGGCTCACAGGGCAATTGCAATTGGTCTGCTTGGTTTCTACCCAGGAGAGTTCCTGCTCCCTGACTCCTGTGCCTCCTCCAGAAACATGGGCTTCCCATCGCAGATCTGAGCTCTCAGTATTCTCATCTGCAAGTTCGTATATCTCTTTATGAGTCTGAGACTCACAATCCCATTGTTAGATCAAGATTGTGACTGTTTGTTCTGTAGCCTTCTCTATGCTAAACTTTAGCTAGGTATTAATAGGGAAAAAGAGTACAACATCCCTACTTGAAAAGCAGCTGGATGGTAAATGCTCCACTAGAGCCATAAACAAAGAACTATAGAGCACTGTTCTAGGGCAGTTCTCAAGAGCTTTGTGTAAGGGAATGCATAGAGATCTAACTCATAGCAAAGAATGAATCATGAGAAGATGGTGACCCAAATGGAGGGAGCAACTTGGGCAAACCACCATGTGTTTAGAAACTACCATGTGATCTGAGGCAAAGAATAGCATGGAGACCTCTGTATGCAGGCTAAAGTTAAATGAAACAAAGGTGTTGAGTGACATCTAAAAATATCCTGTAGGTCAGGGATGACTCTGAGGGGAGGGTCAACTCTGTTTGTAAATAACTCACTTGTTTATGGTGTTGCCTATGATTATGACGACAGAGCCAAGGAATTGCAACAGAGAAAGAATGGTTCACAAAGTATAAAACATTTATGATCTGGTCTTTTACAGAAAAAAGACTCACATTTGCTCAGGGTGCTATTAAAGATCTTTATAGAAATGACAGGAACAGATTTGTATTTTAGAAGGTCCATTCTGAAAGCTTGCAGAGGAAGGGCTAGGCAGAGAGCCCAGGTGGTGGGACACAGGCAAATGAAATAGATTAGCCACTGGTGCATTGAGCTCATTATTTCTTGACATGAAAATAAAGTACAAAAAAACTAACAAGCAAAACAAAAGACCAAAAGCCCACCACAAATATTACTTTCCTGTTTTGTTCCACATTTTTTCCTTTTCAACTTTTATCAAAGAAAACATTTATACTTCAGCAACTCCACTCCTTTCCCATCCCCTACAATCTTCATGGAACCTGAGATATTTGTCATGCCCGTCTGTTTTGTTCTTTCAACAACATTTCAGGCTATAATAGTGTATTCTGCTTCAAGTCAGTCTTGCTAATTTAATAAGGAAAAAAATAAAGGATAGAAAATGCTCTAGTGAAACTCAAGTCCCAAGGAGAGTGCAGAAAATAAAAACACCATTCCTGGGGTTTAAAATTTTTTAGACAGTCTAGAAAATTATCAACATATTTTCCCTGGAGTGTATGGTACTCCTCACAGGGCTCCCTACTAGGAACTTCTGTCCCCTGAGCTTCATTGAAATCTTATTCATCTCACAGGAGCTGAAGAGGTAACAAGAAAAATTATTCCATAGGCTCCCCCCAATATATTCTATCTATCTATCTATCTATCTATCTATCTATCTATCTATCTATCTATCTATCTATCTATCTAATCAATATAGAGTGATTCTCCCAAGATGGGTGGCATAGCAAAACAACAAAATTGTTGTTAAGGCCCCTTCACATGAAATATTCACATATAACAATCTTAAATTATCCATGAGAGATTGTTTTTCAAACTCATCTCATGCAGAATGAAAGCCTGGGCAACAAGTATTCAGCTTAGGAATACAGAACATAGGCCTTCCATGGAGTGTCTTCCATCTAGACCTCTTCTTTTCCCAGTCTTGTAACTTGCTAACCTACTTTCCCCTTTCTTCTTCCTTCTTCCTGTGTTTGACAGAAATAGTATGTGCTGGGAGGCAGGTGTAGCGTGATCAAGACACACCACAAGAGCCAAGGATTGCAGCTTGGGAAGGACACTCAATTATCTGAAGATTTGAACTGCAACACTTTCAGGGGTCATCAACGGAGCACCAGAACTCATAGACCATTTGACCTTTAGAATGTCTGTGATCAATTCATTCAAATGTAGGGGCAGACAGCTGACCTCCCACCTTCTGATTCTGTGCTGTCCAAAGCAGTGACTATTAAAATAATAAAGTTCATACTTTCATTCCTTTGTTGTCCTAGTCACATTTCAAGAGCTCAACAGCCACATATAACCAGAGGCCACTGTACTGGAATATGCCCACACCTAAACTATTTCCACATTGCACAGTTTTATCAGTGGGCAGTAATCCCTAGGAGGGGTCACAGGGAAGAATTAGTTACCAGCACTCCTTACAGAGCAAAGGTGGAGTTCCCTACAGACCTGCCCATGTTTCTACTCCTCA